GCGATATGCAGTTCTGTTTTGCTTTCATTGTCGTTTGATGATATGATTCCTTCATGATCCGTCTAAGGATACAGGGTACTTCGTATCGGGCGCGCCATGGCAAGTAACATGGTTCGGTTTTCAAAACCGAAGACGGGTCATGGAGCCGTGTCTTAGTCCCTCTTGATGATTGTTTTCTGTATTTCGTCGACTGGTTTCACAGAGATGTCCGACAATATAACATCAACGACCGTAAAAATCTGGTCTTGGCTGGCCAAGTATAGGTTGGAGGATTAGTTCAAAAGAGAAGCCTTATAGTTGTGACAGGTGGTGGTAAAACATGGCATTCTGATGTTCCACAAATCCAGTTCTGTTCTAAGTTCAAGCATTCATATCAATGGCAATAGATCAACAGGGGAATCGTCTGAGGGGGATCACAGATGACCCAGTTGAGCTTAGATGGGAAGCGATTATACGTGACGAACGCACTATTCAGCACATCGGATGGACAATTCTATCCGGAACTCGTAGAGAAAGGTTCCCACATGTTGTGAATCGATGTCGAGGCCAAGAAAGGTTTTCTTTTTGGTCGATTTTGGAGCTGAACCTGCTGGAGCTTGCCTGGCTCATGAGATAAGATATCCAGGTGGTGACGGCACTTCATATATTTGGATTTAAGAATCTCAAAACCAGTTTGGCTATGAAGAAATCAGCCTTTACAATGTAGGACAAAAACAATAATAACAATCAAAGCAACCATATGATCTACAAACAATTATTACCATGTTTATATGGTGGGGAAGGATCAATTCAGTGACTTTAAATTCAATAAAACTGAAAGAGAACTCCCAAAGGGAAAACAAGATCAACTTCAGTCAAATGAATGAAAAGTGAGAAAGAAATGAAATCACAAACCATCCTATATGAGCCCTTAATGCAACTAGCTGCATTTGATGATCAAAGCTAATAAAACCTAGCAGTTGACCTATGTTACTCCAACTCGGGTGAGTGTTGCATATGGTATATTTAGTTTTTCTTTTAAAGAGGATCACATCTCGATATTCAAGTTCTAATATGTGTCGGACACGGATGTCAAATGCAAGTACTTCCAAGAAAATGAGAAGTCATGGCAATATAGGTTGGTTGGGGCATAGGGTTTAACAGGCAGGCCTTATAAATAACACATGATAAGAAAGAAATAATGTTAGACTAAACCATGTGAGACTATTAACAAAGTATATAGCATAGGATAGGCTCGTGTCTTAGTCTCTCTTGACGATTGTTTTCTGTATTTCGTCAACTGGTTTCACAGAGATGTCCGACAATATAACATCGACGACCGTAAAAATCTGGTATTGGCTGGCCAAGTATAGGTTGGAGGATTAGTTCAAAAGAGAAGCCTTATAGTTGTGACAGAAGGTGGTAAAACATGGCATTCTGATGTTCCACAAATCTATCCGGAACATTCCTACATTCTTTACAGGGGAATCGTCTGAGGGGGATCACAGATGACCCAGTTGAGCTTAGATGGGAAGCGATTATACGTGACAAACGCACTATTCAGCACATCGGATGGACAATTCTATCCGGAACTCGTAGAGAAAGGTTCCCACATGTTGTGAATCGATGTCGAGGCCGAGAAAGGTTTTTTTTTGTTCAAGTTTGGAGCTGAACCTGCTGGAGCTTGCCTGGCTCATGAGATAAGATATCCAGGTGGTGACGGCACTTCGGATATTTCGATTTATGCATCTCAAAACCAGTTTGGCTATGAAGAAATCAGCCTTTACAATGTAGGACAAAAGCAATAATAACAATCAATGCAACCATATGATCTACAAACAATTATTACCATGTTTATATGGTGGGGAAGGATCAATTCAATGACTTTAAATTCAATAAAAATGAAGGCGAACTCCCAAAGGGAAAACAAGATCAACTTCAGTCAAATGAATGAAAAGTGAGAAAGAAATGAAATCACAAACCATCCTATATGAGCCCTTAATGTAACTAGCTAATTAAACCTAGCATTTGACCCATGTTACTCCAGCTCGGGTGATCGTTGCATATGGTATATTTAGTTTTTCTTTTCAAGAGGATCACATCTCGATATTCAAGTTCTAATATGTGTCGGACACGGATGTCAAATGCAAGTACTTACAAGAAAATGAGAAGTCATGGCAATATAGGTTGGTTGGGGCATCAGGTTTAACAGGCAGGCCTTATAGATAACACATGATAAGAAAGAAATAATGTTAGACTAAACCATGTGAAACTATTAACAAAGTATATAGCATAGGATAGGCTTGAGAGATGCCATGGATTTACCTTCAAGTTGAAGGACAGTGCAGACTTAATTGTAAATTAACCTTTTTCTTCTGTTCTCCACACAAAAAGACTTCAATAGCTAAACAGAACAGTTGATTCAAACATATAACATACTGAAAAACCAGATTTTGCCACTAAATACTGAGTTCATCCCCCCAGTCTGACAAGCAGGCCCCAAATGTACTGAAAACCAAAGTTAAACATGCATTTCATATATAGAAAATTCAAGTTAAGTATCTCTAAAATATACAACAATAACCCAAAAAAGATAATAAAAGACAGCTCAAGTTTAGGTTCTAAGTTCGAACACCTTTGATCCCTCTAGCACATCTTGTAATAATCTCACATCCCCTACTATATGATTAGCTTGACCAGCATGACAATCGTAGTAAGAAGCACCAGGCTTCTCACAAGGGACCATGTCCCTCCTCAGTGTCTCATAACTGATGTACCTTCTCTGCATCAAAAGCAGCCTCCTTTGGCTCTCAGACTCCATTTCTTCATCTCCTAGACAATCTTCGACCTTGTTGGTGCAAACCCTTTTCACCATGGCATCAACCTCACTGGTTTCCAGTGCGTTTTGGAACTCTAAAACTGACACAGTAACACAAGTATGGAGGCAAAGAAGGAAGAAAGAGAGAGTTGTCAAGATGAGTTTGAGAATGGCCATTTTTGGGAGATTTTTTAGGAGGTAGCTTTGAGTTCTGTTGTCCTGTTTTAGGGGTCTCTCATGTGGGGACTGAAAGTAAATACATTTTAGGGTAGTTGGAGAGGAGATGTACAAGGACAAGACATTGAAACAGGACAAGCTTCCTTATATTTATGCTACTCCACTTTGTTTGGAAATTTAGTCATTGTCTGTCAATTATAAACTTAATGAAAAAAAGATATTTTTTTAATCTCAAGGCTATATCAAAACAAATGATCAAACTATACCATTTTTTTAGTAGGTGTCTAAATTATTTTTTGATTCATCCAAGTATTTAACATTACAAACGATACTCATTTAGGTGCTCGAGCCGTTAACGTCGTTAATTTCTCCCATTAAGTGACACGTATCACAATTTAGTAGTTTTGAAATTTATTTTTTAAAAAAATATTAAAAATATTATGATATTTAAAAAAACATTAACTTTTCTTATATTATAAAACAACCCTAAAATCCCAAAGACTAACCTTAATTCGCGTTGTCGCCCTTTTCGGTCACGATCACTGCCACCGACATAGTCTCTGCCATCCTTCTACTCATACGCTGTCTTAGTTTCCGTTGATTAGCTACCGGAACTGCCGATGTGGGTTTAGGGGTTGAAATGAATGTTTTCAAAGTTTTGAGTTTATTTCAAAATTTGTCTTTTCTTTTTAAAAATATATATAATTTGAATTTTTTAATTTATTTTTTTTTATATTACCAGGTTGTGACACGTGTCACTTAACGGATGAATTAACACCATTGAAAGTCCGGGCACCTAAATGGGAAATTTTTATAATGTTAGGCACCGGGATGAATAAAAAAATATTTTAAGCATCTATTTAGAAAAAGAGGTATAGTTGGCCACTTATTTTGAAATTAAGCCTTTATTTTAAGGATAAAGATTATTATTATTAGTAGTATTATTATTATTATTATTATTGTTGTTGTTGTTGTTATTGTGAGGATGATTGATTTGTCAATTGAATTAGGTCAACACTTTTAATATTGAGAGTGCTTGACAGGTGGCTTATAAGTAGCATAATAATTCAATGTTTTTTATTAATTTAAGTTAAGTGTAAGGTAATATCTGTTTAAAGATAAACTCTCAATCTTTCTACATTGATCGCTCACATTCCAAACATCTATGATGCTCGAACCCAAATTCTTTGGAATAACAACAATTCATTTTTTACGGAGATCACTTGTTTCGTGCAATATTGTGTGATTCGCTTCTTGATAAACAGAATTAATCAATTTTTCAACTTTTTTTATGATATTAATGATTTCCCCCTTTTTTATTGAGCTCGTGAATAAAACTTTGGCTTCATTACTCTCGTGAAGAAAATGATAATTGATGGAAATTGGTGAGTTAGAATGCTTGGTTTTGTCATTTTCCATTGTTTTCGTACAACACCAAAAGTTGGCAATGCATGATTTAGATAGGGGGCCAATATTCTCATAAATAAAACCAAAATGAACATCTAAAAATTTAATGATTAGTGGACCCTATGGCCAATGATTTTGTTACTTTATATTCATAAAAGTTAGCTTCAGTACCAACTTGTCACGTAACCATTACCTTCTTCCTCCGATACCAGCTTATCGGGAAGAGTGGAACTCGAGTTTATATACTCGAAAAGCTTTGCTTGTAAACACACTACCTACTGCCTCAATTGCTTAGCATGATGTGCCTTTCACTTGCCTAATTCATACATCTTCAAATTATCCCTACTTGGGGTACTTTTTGTCTATGACCATCCAATATCTAATAGTCGCATTGGACCTCAACTATCATAGAATTCAGCCTAGTGAGACCCCAAACGAGAGAAAGTTCTGTACAATACCTTTTTTCTTCAATCACAAGACTCGAAACCAGATGAATCCTAAAGAAACATGAAAACCTTGAATCATGCATAGCATTCACTGCTCAAACTAAAGAATAATCTATGAATGAATGGATCGAAACAAACAAAACAATGTTGTAACTCGAGACTGATGTAACAAAAAAAAACAACAACAATATCAAAATGTATGAGATGGGTTGTTAGCTGAACATTTTAAGACAGAAACAACAGTTTTGTTTCTGTTTGCCAAAAATGAAAATTCTAGGCAGAAAAAACACTCAAGAGGAGACTTCAGTTTCGATAAAGGAAGAAAGACAGATTATGTCTGTTTCAGAAGATAAACATAGTTGTTTAGTTACCAAAACCTTGAAAACTAGACAATACATATATAACTTTCTATTTTACAATTGAAAAAAAGGTTGCTATCTCTCGAATTTGAGCACTTATGGTAACATGCCACTAACCAAATGGAATTCAACATGATTTTATTCAAACTAATTTTTGGCAGTTATATATAAAATCGAATCCTATAAATGAACTATATCTATTGCAAAAGAACAAAAGTAATGAAAGACACCTTTGTAGACTTCTCACTGGTTTTCTGGGAAGACATCTTTGCAGCTCAAAGACTAAGCTGTTCAATGTTCTTAGCATTCTTTGCTAGTCCATGGGCCGACCTTTTGTCTTCCTGCTCTTCATATGGATTTGCTCGATAATTGGAACTGGCTTCTTCATTGTCAGAGGAGCCTGGTCTTTCAGTAAGGAACTGTTCCCAAAATACATCATTCACTCTGGCTGGAGGAGCTACCGTCTCTTGATTTCTATTAGAACCTTCTTTTGATGAAGATAATGTAGTTTCCCCATCAATCATGTTTCTGCTGTTCTCAAAAGCTCTGGGATCAGAGTCTTTACTGTTGGCATTGGACCTTGGCTTGGAGACTTTTCCGAATTCCCAATTTAGTTGTGACATCCTAGTTAAGCTGGGACTTTTATTCACTTGCAATGAGGAAGATGCCAGAGTTAGATTTAATTGACAGGAAACATTACCATCAGGTTCCTCGTTGGAACTTAATCTCTGTTGCAGTGCCAGTGAATGCACAGTTGGGCTTTCATTCATTGATACTTTTTGAGTGAATGATGAATCCATGTTGAATGTAAAAGATGTGCCCGTATCTGAAAGGTCTAATGTTTCGGGAGTGAATAAAATGCCTTCGGGTTTGATATTATCATCCTTTGGTTCACCTTGAGATATCCTTCTCTGAAGACTTTCTCCATCTTCATTAGAACTTTGTGTGCTCTGAGAAACCAAATTAATATCCGAAACGGCTGATGACAATTCTAGTCTTAGCTTGTTTGAGAAATCGAGGTGGACAACGTTTCCAAACTTAGGTGTAGAACCGCTTTTGTTGTCCAAAAGATCATATTGTCCAACTGGCTTGATTCGATCGTTTTCAGGCAGTCTTCTTCTCTTATTATATGCAGCAACATCATCCATAGATTCAATCTTATGAACAATATGTTCAACGAAAGAAGGGTCTTGCAAAGCCTTTTCTAAGAAGTTAAACAAAGTCTCCTGCCTCCGCTCCATTTGATCAGCCTGAAGTGTCAACTCTTCCACCTGCAGCTTCAAAGCTGATCGCTCCTGTCTAGACCTCGAAACATTAGCCTCAAGTGCAGCTTTCTCACGTGAAAGCTTTTCGATTTCTTCTTCATATCCAGCTCTCTCTAGATCTGTCAAAGAACCTGGAGGATTACTATGGCTGTGAATAGGCTTCCTACGGTGGATGTTCTTAAGAAGATGCCTTTGATCTTTCACAAAATCTTCATTGGCAAATTCCCACTTTTCAGGATCAATCTTCCGGAAACCCTGTCACCCAAATTAGATACATATGCACTCAGATTATTCTCAGGCACTCAACTCTCGTACATCTAACCTAAGCAAACTATAAGTAATAGAAATCTATTTAATTCTTCTTACAACCGCCTATTGCATCGAAGATAAGCTATTCATTAGAAAACGTGAAAGAACGAAAAAGATATTCTGGTTGAGGAATGCACAAGAATGACAACTGGAAATGTCAAATAAATACGCTGAAGATTCTTTAAATCCAAAGTCCAAAAAAGACTTATTTACATTTCTCACGTTTTCTTTACAAGATCGATAATTGATTCACCTCCATAGTTCTTTGACTAACAAAACACCTCAATTCTAATGGAATTCACCCTATGAATCACAGCACAAGACAACTGACAGGCAAAGGTTGATACCCATAAGCAGTTTGAAATTAAGTTGTTTAGTCAATTACCAGAAAAAGAACAAAAAATGGATAAATTCCCATAATCTATACTCTCAAGAAGCTAGAATTACTCCATGCATTTTCTATCAGAGAATGAACTCAAAAGCTAATAATTTCGCCTAATTATCAGAGAATCCAACAAAGATACATTAATTAGAAAAAAAACCCAGAAAGGAAAAGGAACTTACGTAGGTATTAAGCTGCCTGATGAAGCTGGAGAAATTACTGTGCTTGAAATAGGTGGGAAGCAAAAGGCGGGCGAACTCGGGAGGGTTCCAAACCACAAAGCTCTTTCTGTTGGAGCTCCATGAAACGATGTCGTCGGTGGATGAGTCGTCCACCATGTCGTAGGTCTTTACAAGGAAAGGTGCAGGCCCTCCTCCGCCACCAGCGCCACCGCCGGCCGACGCGGAGGGTGCGGTTGGGTCCATTTTTCGATTTCTTTTTTGGTAAAGGAAGGAGTTTCAGGAAAGGGTCGTCGAGTTGCCTAACGGAGAAATTTGACAATTTTGACACTATCTTTATTATGTTTGAAAATAAATATAGAATTATTACATAATCCGGAAAATAAAATTAAAATAATTTAAATATAATTAGTAAATATTTTTAAATTTTATATAATATATTAATTTATATACATATAATTTAAAGCCCATAAAATATACCGTAATTATTAAATTCAAAGTTTATTTGAATAGAGAGAGAGATGGAATATGTTAATATTGAAAACAGTGGTGGTGATTAAATTAAGGGTAAATTATGCATTTAGTATCTAAACTATTAATTTTAGTCCATTTTAGTATTTAAACTTTTAATTTTTTCAAAACCATGCCAAATATTTAGATATTATTTCATTTTAGTACCGTCCGTTAAAAACTTAATGCGTTTAGTATCTAAACTATTAGGTTTAGTCCATTTTAGTACCTAAACTTTTAATTTTTTAAAACTTAACATTTAATTTTCAACGGAGATAATGAAACAAAAACTAAAGTTTTAATGGTGGGTACTAAAATGAAACAAAACTAAATTTTAGATATGATTTTGAAAAAAATTAAAAGTTTAGGTACTAAAATGAACCGAAACTAATAGTTTTGGTGCTAAACTTGCAATTTACCCTTAAAATAATTATTTTGGTAATGAGATTAAATATCGTGATAGCAAAATTAAAATTGGGATAAAGTATATAAATAGTCTCTGAATTTTAAGGCGCTTTCATTTTGGTCACCCAGCTTTTGAAACTTGCAATACAGTCATCAAACTTTTAGTTTGTTTTCATTTTGATCCCTACCGTTACCTCCTATTAGTTTTGCTGACGTGTCACTTAACCCCGTTAACTTTCTGACATGACAGCTTCTTCTTCTTCTTCCTCCTCCTCCTACTAAAATCCCACAACTTTGCTGACTGTTTTTTTTCTAAATTTTCTTTCCCAAGGGCAATGGACAATGGCAAGAGGGACCAACCACACATATAAGTTAAACAGGGGCTGCGGCTTCTAAATACTCAGAACAAAAGATTCACACTTGAAGTTGAAAACTCCCTCAACTTCTTCCTCTTTTTCAGCACAAAAAGCGAAGTTTCTCTTTGTTTTCCATCATTACCAACTTCACTCTTTTCTTCAACATCTATTCCAAAAACTTAAACTTTAAACAAACCAAAAGTGTTTTTTGATCATGGAGTGCTTTAAGTTGAAGACACTTTCACCTGCTTGAAAAACCTTTACCAATCTGATACAGTCTCAACTGTTTTCTCTTCAAAATCTGATTGCATGCCTTGTTTCAACTACTTACAGTGTTTGAAAACCGGTAATTTCCATGCTTCTTTCGGACAGGAGGTCGTTTCTTTCATTCTCCAGGTACCCTTTGTCTAATCATCCATGGATTAACTCAGTTCTGTTATAGTTTTTGTTGTGTTTTAAACTTTGTTTTTGGTCAGGCTCGGTATTCTTGCAACCTTGATCCTTACATTTCATATTTACTTGTTACTTACATGGATCGGTTCATTTCCAGACAAGATATCCCTAGGTTCATTTCCAGACAAGATATCTCTATTAATAGTTCGTAGTTAATGGATTTTACCATCTTGTTTTGGAACATTTTAATTGACTGGATTTGTTGTATCTCATTGGTAGCAGCGCCTCCTCCATTTCACGACCACCATCAAGCTTCACCAATGGGGATCGATTTAGTAGCAGGAGGCAAGAGCAAGAAGACCAAAAGGACTGCTCCCAAGTCCGATGATATTTACCTCAAGCTTCTCGTCAAGCTTTACCGTTTCCTTGTGAGAAGAACTGGGAGCAAATTCAATGTTGTTATATTGAAAGGCTTGTTTATGAGCAAAGTTAACAAGCCTCCACTATCTCTCTCTAGGCTTGTTCAGTTCATGAAAAGAAAGGATGATAAGAATGTTGTCGTAGTGGGAACAGTGGCAGATGATACTAGGGTTTATGAGGTTCCAACTTTGAAGGTTACTGCTCTTAGGTTTACTGAGACTGCGAGAGCTAGGATTGAAAAGGCTGGTGGAGAATGCTTAACTTTTAATCAGCTTGCTTTGAGGGCTCCTTTGGGTCAGAACACAGTTCTTCTCAGAGGTCCGAAGAATGGCCGTGAAGCACTTAAACACTTTGGTCCAGCTCCTGGTGTGCCTCACAGCCACACTAAGCCCTACGTGCGCTCAAAGGGACGGAAGTTTGAGAGGGCCAGAGAACGAAGGAAAATCAAGGGATTTAGGGTTTAGGATGACGTTAGTGTTTGTTTTGAGGATGGTCTTCCATTTATTACAGCAAAATATTTTTTTTACTTTAGATTTCCATGGTATTTGTTTGATTATGGAATGATTTGTATCGTTAAAAGCTGCTGGGATTTCATGATTTGTTCCAATTTGCAAATGGAATAAATAACAATTTGTCGTCAAAAAAAATAATTGACTGGATTTGAACTTTTGCAGCAAGGTAATCCATGATTTGGTCCCTCCATCTAATTTAATAATCTAATTTAACATAAAAAAACCATTCTTTGTTTTTTTCACGTTGCATCCTCCATATCACAACTCATATATGGGAGCTTCACTAGCCACAAATAGATCGACCAAAACTCCAATCTGTAATTCCAATAGCTCTAGAACGATCAACCAAAAAAAACTAAAAGATGGAACCATTACCGCTATAATAACATGAAGAACCCAACACAGAACTCTTCGAAAGCCTCCAAAACATGGAGTCAAGAGTAATTAACAACCATCGAAACACCAGCCAATCAACCCTACCACAAAATTCTCCAATAAACCAAACAATTACACCACATACAACCCACATCAACCAAAGACAAAGAAACACAAACCAAATATTCAACTAACAGCATCACCTACCCACCCAACAAGCCTCCACTGAAATGAGCAAATAAAGGAATGTCTGGCTCCAAAACACCAAACACAAAAATCCTTGAGAACATCACCCTAACCTTCGAAATGAAAAATCCACCATAACACCTCGGAAACCAAGATTTCAAAACCATGGAACTTCCAAAAAAACACTCTCATCTACCTTTTCGTCAAATGAAACATATATATTCCTAGACTCACTCCATCTCAGACAAAAATCTAAACAATTTTCACACTTTAGAAATCTATGACACTCCCCGATCCTGACACCCCACTGCAAATCGAGCTAAATCACAAAGAACCCAATATTAAAAAAACCAAGACCTTAAAGAATCACTTAAATGTTCTGAAAGACCGAACGCAAAAACCTTAACAACCCCTACAATACTCTTACTACCCTCAACACATATCTAACGACACTAGCTTCTTGAGAACCTCAGTATCAGGACTACCAAACATAATTCCAATTTGCTTTCCTAAAGACACTGCCTCCTGCGCTTTATCAAAAGCTTCAGCCCACCTTTGTTTTAAAACAGAATCTGAAATAGATGTACCTGATAATTCGGAGAGAAGAAGATCCGACTTCTTCAAATTGAATCTCTTCAGCGCTCGATCTCTTCTTCTTCTCCTCTCAGCTTTTGATAGAACTTTGCCCTGAATATCCAACATAGAGCCGAATTTCTTAATCTTCAAATTTTTGCTAAACGACCGATACGGCAAGATGGACGACTCCTCAAAGTCACGCCCAACAAGCTCATTTTTTGCTTTCTTCTTTATAATTGAATTTCCTTTTTCACTAGAGGAAACATACCCTCATATAATCCATCGTACTTCCCCCTGCTGCCACGATACCATCTTTATTTAAATCCACTAAAGCATCGACCGAAGTGCCCATCCCTCGTGGAAGCCCACTATCAGATGAACCTTCAATAGCCCCTACAACCATACCTTGAACCTCATTTCTTGAAGCATCATCTAAAAAAGACATGGCAATATTTAAACCTTCATCCTTAAACACTACCCCATCAACATCCACTCTTTGAAGCCCCACGTGATTAGAGTGATTTGGGGTTTGAAAATCAACTCTCTCTCTTTCTTTTTCGAACCCACAACCACCCATGATCGGCTTCCCGACAACATCCTTGAAACAATCTCCAAGACTGTCCCCATTGCACGCTTCATCAAAAGCGCCGCCAAAGAAAAAGGGATTTATTTTCTTGTCGTTTGAATTTTTCGATACAGCAGATTCCTCCGACGGATCAACGGAACGATTTGTCAATGGAACACCCTCGTTAACAGTCCCAGACTCTACTCCATCCTTCTCATTCTCAAGCTCTTTTTTTTCTTAAGAACAACAGGTTTGGATGAAGTAACTAACGAATGGTCCATCATCCCTACTTCAAGCACTCGAACTGCAACCTTCTTACTCTCCATCACTACGTCAACAACTTCATCAATATGAGCTGCAATCAAAGTAGATATCAACATGTTAACTTTTTCACAATTTAAATGATTGTTAACATTTTCTCCGAAAGCCTCAAATCTACCCCACAATCCTGCTAATCTTTTCAACGTGATTGCATTCCAACACTGCAATGGCAACCCAACGATTTCTATCCATACAACTCTTTCATTTTGACAAAACGACTCTGTACAAAGCATAACATCCACGAAAATCTCCTTCAAGTAAGACCACTGGAGGTCTTCTAGTAGGGATGGAAAACGGGCGGGTCGGGTGCGGATACCCTTCCCCTATCCCCATACCCACCTAATATTTTCAAATCCACCACCCGCCCACCACCCATGGTGGGTAAAAATTTTCAAATCCACACCCGCCCACGCGGGTACATTCTCAAATCCATCCCCACACCCACTACCCAATTGGAGATGTACCGTGCTAGACCCGTCTCACAGCAACCTTAAGTTATACATAAGCAACAAACATAAAACAAACACGTCCATTAAGAAGCATAATAAAATAAACCAATGATTATCTGAGTTAAGTGTTAACATAGATCTTAAAGTACATAAAACACCATAATAAAAGACATAATTAAAGCCTAGAAACATAAATGACAAACACATAATATTTTTGTTCTTTGGCACAACATTCTCAAATTTCAGGCAATACTTGTGACATCTGTTACTCCAGTATTACAATCATCATTCTCTATTTCCTTCAATTGAGAGCGCTCCAATTTAAACTCACTACTACCTATATATAAATAGAAGACAAACCTAATATAAATTAGTAACTAAACTTTAATAAGATAATTAAGCAAAATTTAATGGGTATTTAGTGGGCGGACGGATGAAGGGCGAGCGGAAGCAGGGCGGGTGGATACGGGGCGGGTAAGGTCTCAAAACCATCACCCGCCCACTACCCGCGATGGGTACCACTTTCTAAATCCACACCCGCCCACTACCCACTAAAGTTATACCCATCACCGCCCCAATTGGAGCGGGTACGATGCAGAATCCACGAAATTGTACCTGTTTGCCATCCCTATCTTCTAGCATGGAAAACAACTCTTCATCCTCAATGGAAAGCAGAAAGGAAGTACCACATAATCTTTGAACTTTAATTTCCCCTAAGCCCCAGATATGTAATCTATCGACGATAATCCCAACACTACAAACACCAGCCATAACTCCCACCAAACATCTCCTCAACCTTCTAACTTCGTCCTCATCAACATGACCCATAACTTCCTTTCTGGAAGCTCCCACTTGACCAGCCTCTGTACTATGAGTTTTTTCATGAAAGGATGAACTCCCCATTTTTTATTTCCATGGCATCATATTTTGCACACCTTTATCTTTTGGGGCCTCCATCGTATACTTTGCTAAACTCACTGAAATGCGACTGCCAGACACCATAATACTATTCAAACGATCCCTAACTCTTTCAGCTTCTATCATATTACAAACTTTTACGAAGCCAAATCTTGTGCCTGCTCTACTCCTCTTCTTTGGAATAAACACACTTAGGACCTTTCCGTAACGACCCACTATCTGCCACAGACCTTTCCAATGAATAGAGATTGGAAGATAATCCACAAACAAAGAAACAATCTCCGATGGAGCATTCATGTCCAGCCTTCACTCCTGCAGATGACGAGGCTGCCACTGCCTCATTGTTTTTAAGTTAAATAGATTCTAACTCAAATTAATCTTTTAAACTTTTGAACATTCTAAATTGGTCCTTAAAATTTTGAACATTTTATTTTTATCCTTAAACTATGACTCTTATTTTAAATTGATCCCCAAACTATAACCCTCCTATATTGGTCCCCAAACTTTTGAATTTTCCAATTTCATCCCTAAAATTTTGAATTATTTTGGGGGAGGTTATTGGTACGTTCAAAAGTTTGGGGACCAATTTAGAATGGGGTGAATTTGGAACGTTCAAGAGTTTGGGGATTAATTTAGAATGATAGTCATAGTTTGAGGATAAAATTAGAATCTTTAAAAGTTTAGGGATTAATTTAAAATTAGGTTTGAGGATGTGTAGGTTGTATGTTTCACCCTCTATCTAATTTAATAATCTAATTTAACATAAAAAAAAATCATTCTTTGTTTTTTTTCAACGTTGCATCCTCCATATCACAACTCATATATGGGTTGACCTTGTCTGCCGTGGGGTGCAAGGCCTCAACAAGTTTAAAGCATTTCTTATTTGATTATACGTTTGTATGTGTGTGTATGTGTGTGTGTATATATATATATCCAAATTCATCATTTTCAACTTGGGTTTCACTGATTTCGGTTCAATATCATGGCTGCAGCACCAGACGAAGGATTGAACAGACCAGGCCATCGTTCAAAACCTAAAAACACAGAGCTTCAAGCTGTTAAGAGTAAAGCTAAGAGCAACCGAGTTCACGATTCAATTTATGTGATGCTTCAGCAAAACCCTGATCCAGAATCTGGGATTCAACAGGCTGTGACACTGCTTACAAAATCGAATGAAGATTTATTCCGAATCACGAAGAAGATAGACGAGAAACAGGTACGCTAGCTTTTAACGTTATTCAAAACACCGATCACTAGGTTTCCGGTTGTAAACGTTGCCAACACGACCACGATCAGTGAATATCGACGACATAAATCGTAAGACACTTTGATTTATGTTGAACAGAATGAAGAACGCGTGGCTTATAACAAGTTGTACAGCTTAGAATATGAAGAGAGAGGATTTAGAAGTAAGTCGAGCATTGTAGGGAAGAGAATGGCTGCTCTAAAACGAGAACTCGACAAGCTCACTTTTGCTAATAATGCTTACAAGGACAGATCTATCAGCACACAAGACAAGTTGAATCTCCATGTAAGAACACGAAATCATTGTTTTTCGATGTTTGTTTCATAGAAAAATAACTTGGTTAATCGAAAATTTCGATCCAGAACTTGCATTTCCATATGCATCATGGAACTTATAACATGGCCAAGGAAAAGAAGCTCTTGGAAGAGGTGAATGCCTGCAAAAAGAAATCAAATGACGACTTCGGTTGTTGAAGAGATTAACTATCAAGTAATTATGTTTGAACATCGATTCAATGATTTTTTCATGTTGCTTTTCTTTCTATTTACAGAAAATATTCTGTTTTTGTTAGAACAGATACGGAGATTGAAGATGGACATTGGTAGGAACTATTTCATCCCAAGACCAGCAATAATGGTTGATGAAAAGCAAGTTCTTCAAGAGATTAATGAGCTTAAATGGAAGAGAGATAAAGCCTTTGCCGATGCTCCTGTAAAGGGAAAGATTTGGAACTCTTTGCCTCCCAAAAATGTCATCAAAAAACAAATTAAGGTAACAACTTTCAATTTCATAGGTCAAGTTGAATCGAGTTATGATCTAACACAAACTTGATTCATGTCGGATCAAGTGTATCGTATGTTTAGTTATTGGACGGTTCGGATATGCATCGGTTTGATTATTTTTATGTTAAATACAGGAAATGGAATTGGTTTTGGATGATGAATACAGGAAGAAACATATGGAGCTGAAAGGTGAAATACAAGCGGTGAATAGACAAATCAATGGTGTGAAGAGACAAATCAATGGTGTGAATAAGAACATAGCTTCTTTGAACAGGCAATTGTTAGAAGTTCGTAGGAAGAAAGGGACAGCTTACAAAGAAGTTTTAAGGTTAATCAAGATTCAAAATCAACATGAACCAATCGAGCTCGGTGGTTAATGAATTTTTTGTTATTGCTTGAGATCCTGAGTTCAAAAATCACTTACACCAAGATATGAACCTTCATTATCGAAAGATCATTTGTATGATCTTACCCTTATTTTTTATGTTTTGTATATCTTACCCTTAATTTAAAGGAATTGTCACGTTTTTATTTACATTATTCACAAGTATATGAGATTGCTATAAATTAATAAAATTACAATAAAATGATTTTATTATAAATAGAAGTATTCTAATGATTGAATACTAGAAAAATATGTAAGAAACACTAATCAGAAATAGCTAATAAACTACCTAAATGTATTAACTAATCACTATATTAATCTAATTACTAACTAAACCAAGTAATTAATTCGATTAATGGATATTAATAATATATATTCAGGCCAATAATATATTTGTAATTTATAACCAAAATGGTTATTAGAGTGCATGTATCTTGAGCTAATCATCTCTCATACTCATGCTATTGAAAAAAAATAGCATATATCTGGCAAGATAGCCCTTGTAGTTTGCTGTATATCTTAATAAATTAACATATATTAATCGATGTATAATCTGTTCAAAATCTTTCTTATTTTTAAGTTAAATGGATTCTAACTCAAATTAATCTTTTGAACTTCTGAACATTCTAAATTGGTCCTTAAATTTTTGAACATTTTATTTTCATCCCTAAACTATGACTCTCATTTTAAATTGATCACCAAACTATGACCCTCCTATACTGGTCCCCAAACTTTTGAATTTTCCAATTTCCTCCCTAAACTTTTGAATGATTTTGGGGGATGTTATTGGTACGTTCAAAAGTTTGGGGACCAATTTAGAATGGGGTAAATTTGGAACGTTCAAGAGTTTGGGGATTAATTTAGAATGGGGTGAATTTGGAATGTTCAACAGTTTGGGGATTAATTTAAAATGATAGCCATAATTTGAGGATAAAATTAGAATGTTTAAAAGTTTAGGGATTAATTTAAAATGAGGTTTGAGGATGTGTAGGTTGTATGTTTCACCCTCCATCTAATTTAACATAAAAAACCATTCTTTCTTTTTTCCACGTTGCATCCTCCATATCACAACTCATATATGGGTTGACCTTGCTTGCCGTGGGGTGCAAGGCCTCAACAAGTTCGAAGCATTTCTTATTTGATTATACGTGTGTATGTGTGTTTGTATATATATATCCAAATTCATCATTTTCAACATGGGTTTCACTGATTTCGGTTCAATATCATGGCTGCAGCACCAGACGAAGGATTGAACAGACCAGGCCATCGTTCAAAACCTAAAAGCAAAGAGCTTCAAGCTGTTAAGAGTAAAGCTAAGAGCAACCGAGTTCACGATTCAATTTATGTGATGCTTCAGCAAAACCCTGATCCAGAATCTGGGATTCAACAGGCTGTGACGCTGCTTGCAAAATCGAATGAAGATTTATTCCGAATCACGAAGACGATAGACGAGAAACAGGTACGCTAGCTTTTAACGTTATTCAAAACACCGATCACTAGGTTTCCGGTTGTAAACGTTGCCAACACGACCACGATCAGTGAATATCGAAGACATAAATCGTAAGACACTTTGATTTATGTTGAACAGAACGAAGAGCGCGTGGCTTATAACAAGTTATACAGCTTAGAATATGAAGAGAGAGGATTTAGAAGTAAGTCGAGCATTGTAGGGAAGAGAATGGCTGCTCTAAAACGAGAACTCGACAAGCTCACAAACCCTAATAATGCTTACAAGGACAGATCTATCAGCACACAAGACAAGTTGAATCTCCATGTAAGAACACGAAATCATTGTTTTTCGATGTTTGTTTCATAGAAAAATAAATTGGTTAATCGAAAATTTCGATCCAGAACTTGCATTTCCATATGCATCATGGAACTTATAACATGGCCAAGGAAAAGAAGCTCTTGGAAGAGGTGAATGCCTGCAAAAAGAAATCAAACAACGACGTCGATTCGGGTCCTTCGGTTGTCGAAGAGATTAACTATCGAGTAATTATGTTTGAACATCGATTCAATGATTTTTTGATGTTGCTTTTTCTTTCTATTTACAGAAAATATTCAGTTTTTGTTAGAACAGATACGGAGATTGAAGATGGACATTGGTAGGAACTATTTCATCCCAAGACCGGCAATAATGGTTGATGAAAAGCAAGTTCTTCAAGAGATTAATGAGCTTAAATGGGAGAGACATAAAGCCTTTGCTAATGCTCCTGTAAAGGTAAAGATTTGGAAGTCTTTGCCTCCCAAAAATGTCATCAAACAACAAATTAAGGTAACAACTTTCAATTTCATAGGTCAAGTTGAATCGAGTTATGATCTAACACAAACTTGATTCATGTCGGATCAAATGTATCGTATGTTTAGTTATTGGACGGTTCGGATATGCATCGGTTTGATTATTTTTATGTTAAATACAGGAAATGGAATTGGTTTTGGATGATGAATACAGGAAGGAACATGTGGAGCTGAAAGGTGAAATACAAGCGGTGAAGAGACAAATCAATGATCTGAAGAAGAACATAGCTTCTTTGAACAGGCAATTGTTAGATGTTCGTAGGAAGAAAGGGACCTCGGTGGTCAATGAATTTTTTGTTATCGCTTGAGATCCTGAGTTCAAACATCACGTACACCAAGGATATGAACCTTCATTATCGAAAGATCATTTGTAATATCTTACCCTTATTTTTTATGTTTTGTATATCTTACCCTTAATTTAAAGGAATTGTCACGTTTTTCTTTACATTATTCACAAGTATATGAGATTGCTATCAATTAATAAAATTACAATAAAATGATTTTATTGTAAATAGAAGTATTCCGATGATTGAATCCTAGGAAAATATGTAAGAAACACTAATCAGAAATAGCTAATAAACTACCAACTGTATTAACTAATCACTATCTTAATCTAATTACTAACTAAACCAAGTAATTAATTCGATTAACGGATATTAATAATATATATTCAGGCCAATAATATATTTGTAATTTATAACCAAAATGGTTATTAGAGTGCATGTATCTTGAGCTAATCATCTCTCAGACTCATGCTATTGAAAAAAATTAGCATATATCTAGCAAGATAGTCCTTGTAGTTTGCTATATATCTTAGTAAATTAACATATATTACTCGAGGTATAATCTGTTCAAAATCTTTCTTATTTTTAAGTTAAATGGATTCTAACTCAAATTAATCTTTTGAACTTTTGAACATTCTAAATTGGTTCTTAAATTTTTGAACATTTTATTTTCATCTCTAAACTATGACTCTCATTTTAAATTGATCACCAAACTATGACCCTCCTATATTGGTCCCCAAACTTTTGAGTTTTCCAATTTCATCCCTAAACTTTTGAATGATTTTGGGGGATGTTATTGGTGCGTTCAAAAGTTTGGGGACCAATTTAGAATGGGGTGAATTTGGAACGTTCAAGAGTTTGGGGATTAATTTAGAATGATAGCCATAGTTTGAGGATAAAATTAGAATGTTTAAATGTTTAGGGATTAATTTAAAATGAGGTTTGAGGATGTGTAGGTTGTATATTTCACCCTCCATCTAATTTAATAATCTAATTTAACCTAAAAAAATCATTCTTTGTTTTTTCCACGTTGCATCCTCCATATCACAACTCATATATGGGTTGACCTTGTCTGCCGTGGGGTGCAAGGCCTCAACAAGTTCGAAGCATTTCTTATTTGATTATACCTGTATACGTGTATATATATATATATCCAAATTCATCATTTTCAACATGGGTTTCACTGATTTCGGTTCAATATCATGGCTGCAGCACCAGACGAAGGATTGAACAGACCAGGCCATCGTTCAAAACCTAAAAACAATGAGCTTCAAGCTGTTAAGAGTAAAGCTAAGAGCAATCGAGTTCACGATTCAATTTGTGATGCTTCAGCAAAACCCTGATCCAGAATCTGGGATTCAACAGGCTATGACGCTGCTTGCAAATTCGAATGAAGATTTATTCCGAATCACGAAGACGATAGACGAGAAACAGGTACGCTAGCTTTTAACGTTATTCAAAACACCGATCACTAGGTTTCCGGTTGTAAACGTTGCCAACACGACCACGATCAGTGAATATCGACGACATAAATCGTAAGACACTGTGATTTATGTTGAACAGTATGAAGAACGCGTGGCTTATAACAAGTTATACAGCTTAGAATATGAAGAGAGGACTTAGAAGTAAGTCGAGCATTGTAGGGAAGAGAATGGCTGCTCTGAAACGAGAACTCGACAAGCTCAGTTTTGCTAATAATGCTTACAAGGACAGATCTATCAGCACACAAGACAAGTTGAATCTCCATGTAAGAACACGAAATCATTGTTTTTCGATGTTTGTTTCATAGAAAAATAACTTGGTTAATCGAAAATTTCGATCCAGAACTTGCATTTCCATATGCATCATGGAACTTATAACATGGCCAAGGAAAAGAAGCTCTTGGAAGAGGTGAATGCCTGCAAAAAGAAATCAAACGACGACGTCGATTCGGGTCCTTCGGTTGTCGAATAGATTAACTATCGAGTAATCATGTTTGAACAGCGATTCAATGATTTTTTGATGTTGGTTTTTCTTTCTATTTACAGAATATTTTCTATTTTTGTTAGAACAGATATGGAGATTGAAGATGGACAATGGTAGGAACTATATCATCCCAAGACCAGCAATAATGGTTGATGAAAAGTAAGTTCTTCAAGAGATTAATGAGCTTAAATGGGAGAGAGATAAAGCCTTTGCCGATGCTCCTGTAAAGGGAAAGATTTGGAACTTTTTGCCTCCCAAAAATGTCATCAAACAACAAATCAAGGTAACAGAGTTAGTCGAGTCAGAGTAACGTCGGATACAAATTCGTTTGATTTTCGTTAAATGCAGGAAACGGAGGAGACTTTGGATGATGAATACAGGAAGAAACATATGCAGGTGAGAGGTGAAATAGAAGTGTTGAGGAGACGAATCAATGGTATAAAGAACATAGCTTCTCTGAAGAAACAATTGTTAGATGTTGGTATGAGAGAGGGGGCAGCTAACAAATTTATCTTAGAAGTCGGAAAAATAAGACGTGCGCAAGAGACGTGATTTATATGACAATGAAGTTCATCTTATAATGATAGATATCTCGTCTTCGTTCATTGCTACTGGGATCGCTTTGATCGGAAAATGATTCGTTCCAAGCAACAACCTTTCATGGTTGGTGATTGCACTGAACTAATTTCAGCACTTTATAATTTCACATTGGCATGATGATATTACATTATCTCATCAAATATAGTATGTTGTTGTCGTTATTATTGTTCTACAATTTTTAAGGACAATTTGTTCATGTGTGAACTGGTTTTGTGATGCTTAAATCCAAATATCCGAAGTGCAGTCACCACCTGGATATCTTATCTCATGAGCCAGGCAAGGTCCATCAGGTTCGGCTCCGAAACCAACAAAAAAATCGGGGTTTATTTTAAGACCGCCTTTCTCTGTGTCGACATCGATCAGCAGCATGTGGGAACCTTTCTCCACGAGCTCTGGATAGAATTGTCGATCCCATGTGCTGAATAGCGAGTTTGTCACGTATAGTCGTTTACCATCTAAGCTTAACTGGATCATCTGCGGTCCTCCTCTCAGACGATGTCCCTGGAAAAAGTCGTAACCATTGTTCATCGATCACCATTAATACAAATTAATCTGACAGATTGATATGAATGTTAGAACAGACCTGGATCTGTGGAACATCGGCTTGCCATGTTTTGCCATCTTCAGTCACGGCAAAGACAGGGCTTCCCTTCTGAATCACTCCACCAACCCATACTTGGCCAGACAAGACTGGAATTTTGGGGTCTTCGATGTTATATTGTCGGATATCTCCTTGCATCCAGTTGATTAAATACAGATAACGATCGTCAAGAGAGATTAAGAAGTCAGTTATAAATCCAGGCAATTCAGGAAGAATCCAGTTTTGCACCTTCATTGGTTTCACTGAGATTGCCACCTGCAGAAGTTAATAAGTACGTTATAAGGCTTATCGAAATTGAAGATCATATACAGAAAAAGTAGAGTTATGTTATGTGCCAACCTCGTGGCTCCATGATCCATCTTCGGTTTTGAAAAACCGAACCATGTTACTTGTATACGCACACCCAACATACCCGGCATCTTTAGAGGGATCATGCAGGAATCTTAACTGCAAATGACAAGATTATATCCATTCAATCTGAGGTTTCACCATATAATTCTAACAATTAAAACGAAACAGAACTACATATCGCCTTCGAGCAAAACTGAGTCCTAAAAACAATGTTGTAACCTCTAAGGGTGTGAGACCGGTGTCACCGAGATCCAGTATTTGTTTCAGCTCTCCATCAGGCCAGCTATACACATGCAGATGCCTCGCATACAAACCATCTTCAATATGCTGAGGATTGAAACCTTGCCCAATGACGAGCTGATCATCGTATTATGTCGAGGTTGGTACCAAAAGTCGTAGCTGAACAGAGGACTATGCCCCGGCTTCTCCCACCTAAGGAATTACAAATGACAGTTATTCGAAACTATGTATCGTCTTAATTGTTCTTTACGTTTATCAGTTTACCTCCCTTTGATGTTGAATTCAGAATTGAGGAGAAGAAATCCGTTTCCTTTGGCATTACCATGTTTGTCTCCGAGACACGAAATCATTATATCCCCAGAGGCAAGGCAGTGAGACGTGTGCGGATACGCTAGGCCAGTCTTCTCGACGATATCCTCAGGCTCCACAACTTTGTGCAACGAGGGTGCCTTGGGATTCTTCGATGTGTCAACCACATAGATACGACCAGACCTAGAACAAGCGACACATATTTAGATACAAGTTCGAATGTATGATCATCTGGATATAAAGTCACTTACGCCACCGAAGGCAGGATCAGGAAATGTCTATCGACCGACGGATCTCTGTGACAAGAGCTGCAAGCATTCCACCCCGAGTGATGTAGTTCATCACCTATATACGTCATAAACAGCCTGTGGATAACTTTAGAATAAGTGGGAGAGTTCGGATCCACATCAACAGTTGCCAGGAAATCAGGCTTCTTTCTACCCGTTCCTGCATACATACAAATCCATCGAAACTCGAGACATGAAACTCAGCTCGAACTCGATAAAAATCTTAAATTACGATGTGTAAACACATACAAGAAAAGGGAAAGTACCATTATAAATACAATTAACATAAAGAATAGCTTCTCTAGGACCAGACATGGCTTCCAATGGAGTTGCATATCCTGGTCCTGCTCTCTTGCAACACCCTGTTTCTTCGCCCAATTTCTCTTACAAAAAAGCTTTCTAATAACTGCAATTTCAACTGAAAAACATTGGAAAAACCACTTTGCAATTTATAGGCAGCGAAAATTCTTTTTTTTTAATGTTTTTTTTAATCTGAAAATGGCCTATTGGAATTATCAACAAAATGGGTCCTATGGGAATTATCAAACTCAAGACAACATCTGTGTTTGTCACATAGTAGAAGCCAGACCCTGACGGAACACGTGGCAACGGTTGACAAGCCGGCTGTCGGATTTGTTAAAACAGGTTTCGACGTGTTGATTTCATGGTCATGTCCGGATTCGTGACTCGAAGTAAGGCAAATTGGAGTCTTTATTGATCATTTTCAGAATTGCACATTGATATGATAATAGAACGTTAATTTTGTCCTACAACTTCAAAGGATGGTTCTTCAGAGCTAATTTGCTGCTGAGATGATTAGATCCAGATGTCCGAAGTGCAGTCCCCGCCGGGGTATCTCATCTCGTGAGCCAGTGAAGGGCCATCAGGTTCGGCTCCGAAATCAACGAAGAAGTTCGGATTTATTTTAAGACCGCCTTTCTCCGTGTCGACATCCATCTGCAGCATGTGGGAACCCTTTGTTAAAAGTTTCAAAGTTTGGCAACCAACTTTGGAAAATATTTTTTCAAAGTTTGGTAAATGTTTCTTTGAAAAATGTTTTTTCAAAGTTTGGTAAAATATTGGTAGATGTTTGTTGGAAATAGGAATGGGTAAATTCACTTTAGTCATTGCACTTTAGGGTATTTTCAAAGATTAGTCCCTAAGTTTCTACTATAAATACCCTTACCCATTTAGCTTCAATATCATCCCAAAATCATTTCTTCCTTCTAATACTATAGAGCTTTCTTGTGAGTAGTGAGTGTTTGCAAACACCTGTAAATTTCATCTCTTAGTAAAAGATCTACAGCATCCCGGAGACGTAAGCACAATTGGCTTAACTCCGTTATCAATTTTCGAGTATTATTTTTCCGTTTTTATTTCGTATTCTCACTAATCTGGCTATAGGGAAATTACTTGTTCTCGTTATATTTCCTAACAACTGGTATCATGAGCTTTTGGTTGTGAATTTTACCAATTTTTCTGCGAGGTTACTATTCACGTGAATAGTGAATTTCGTGAATAGTGAAATTTTGTCGGCGATACGAATTTGTCGACGAAGGTGTTCAAATACACGACGGTTCGCAGAAATTGTCAAAAACGATTCAAAGAAGCCAGATTCGAGTGGGAGCGATGGCTGCAGACGAAGAGAAGGTGAAAATTGAAAAGTTCGATGGTGCGGACTTTGGCTTTTGGAAGATGCAGATCGAAGATTTTCTGTACCAGAAAAATCTATATCAACCCCTCTCAGGAAAGCAACCAGAGGGCATGAAGGATGAAGATTGGGCTCTTCTCGACAGACAAGCCCTCGGAGTTATCCAACTGACGTTATCCCGCAATGTTGCTTTCAACATAGCAAAGGAAAAGACCACGGCGGGTCTTATGGCGGCTCTCTCCAGTATGTATGAGAAGCCATCGGCCTCAAACAAAGTTCATTTGATGAGGCAATTATTCAATTTGCGGATGACGGAAGGGGCATCGGTGGCATAACACCTAAATGAACTCAACACAATCACAACCCAGTTGAGTTCAGTGGAAATTGAGTTCGATGATGAAGTTCGAGCTTTAATTCTCTTATCATCTCTACCAGACAGTTGGAATGCTACTGTTACAGCAGTCAGCAGCTCGTCGGAAAACAACAAATTGAAATTCGACGATGTTCGGGATCTGGTATTGAGTGAAGAAATTCGACGGAGAGAATCGGGTGAAGCATCAACCTCCTCAGCCTTGCACACAGAGTCTAGAGGAAGAACTTCAGAAAGATATTCAAATCGTGGCAGATCAAAATCTAGACGGGAAAAATCTAGAACGGGAAAGAAAGATTCTACCTGTTATAATTGTGGCAAGAAAGGTCACTTTAAAAGAGATTGCCGAGCACTGAAGAAAGATACCGGTGCACAGGAATCTGCCAACGTGACAGAGGAGACAGGTGATGCCATGATTCTAAGCGTCAACAGTCCGATTGAATCATGGATCTTGGATTCAGGGGCATCTTTCCACTCCACCCCATGCCAAGAAATCATGGAGAACTATGTCAGTGGTGATTTTGGGAAGGTTCATCTTGCTGATGATGAAACCTTGAAGATCGTCGGAAAAAGAGATATCCGACTAAAGCTGCCAAACCAGACCACCTGGAAGCTAACAGGAGTGAGACATATTCCTGGCCTCAAAAGAAATCTGATTTCTGTTGGACAGCTTGATGGAGAAGGATATAGTACAACCTTTTCAGGCTGTGAATGGAAGATTACCAAATGAGCACTCGTCATTGCTCGTGGTAAGAAGACTGGTACTCTCTATGTAACCTCAAATTTAGAGAATATCATTGCAGTAGCAGATGCTGATGGAAAATCAAACCTATGGCACTAAAGGCTTGGCCATATGAGCGAGAAAGGGATGAAGATACTTTTGTCAAAAGGGAAGCTGCCGGATCTAAAGAATGTAGATGTCAGACTATGCGAGGATTGCATCTTTGGCAAACAAAAGAAAGTCAGTTTTGCAAAGATTGGCAAGGCACCCAAGGCAGAAATGTTAGAATTGGTTCATACTGATGTATGGGGACCATCCCCAGTTCCATCTCTTGCAGGCTCACTATATTATGTCACCTTCATCGATGATTCAACAAGGAAGGTGTGGGTTTATTTTCTGAAGAAGAAATCAGAAGTCTTTGATACCTTCAGAAAATGGAAGGCCATGGTGGAAAATGAGACTGGTTTGAAAGTCAAGCGGTTGAGGTCTGACAATGGAGGAGAGTACAGAGACAGTAGATTCAGAGATTTCTGCGCAAACAATGGGATCAAGATGGAGACAACAGTTCCCATAACACCGCAGCAGAATGGCGTAGCAGAGCGCATGAACAAAACTCTGAATGAACGTGCTAGAAGCATGAGGATACATGCCGGATTGCCCAAATTTCTATGGGCTGAAGCTATCAACGCTGCAGCTTACCTGATCAACCGTGTGCCCTCAGTTCCTTTGGATGGCGGAATACCAGAAGAAGCTTGGAGCAAGAAAGAAATAAACCTTTCACACTTAAGAGTGTTTGGTTGTATTTCTTATGTACACATAGACTCTGCTGAAAGAAGTAAACTTGATGCTAAGTCCAACAAATGTGCCTTTGTTGGTTATGGCGGTGATGAGTTCAGTTATCGGTTTTGGGACTACGAAAATCGAAAGATCATCAGAAGCAGAGATGTCATTTTCAATGAAAATGTGATGTACAAAGACAGGTCAACCGCAGAATCAAGTAATACCGAAGCTGAAACAAAGGAATTTGCTGAGTTCGAGGAGATTTCTGGAAATGATGTTCAGATCAGTCCTGAAGCAGTTCAAGAGGAAGAACCAGGCACACCAGAACTGAGACGCTCCTCCAGAATTCCTAAACCAACCCAACGGTATTCGCCTTCTTTGCACTACTTGTTGCTGACTGACAATGGTGAACCAGAGTGCTATGATGAAGCAATGCAGGTGGAGGATTCAGTCAAGTGGGAGTCTTCCATGAAAGATGAGATGGACTCGCTTATGTCAAATCAGACGTGGGAATTAGCTGAATTACCACCAGGCAAGAAAGCGCTTCATAACAAGTGGATTTACAGGATCAAAGAAGAGCACGATGGGAGAAAACGCTACAAAGCAAGATTGGTTGTCAAAGGCTTTCAGCAAAAAGAAGGTATTAACTACAATGAAATTTTCTCTCCAGTTGTAAAACTATCTATAATCAGACTGGTGTTGAAAATTGTAGCTGTAGAGAATTTACATCTTGAGCAGTTAGATGTAAAGATAGCTTTCCTTCATGGTGATTTGGAGGAAGAAATCTATATGAGGCAGCCAGAAGGTTTCATAGAGACAAGCAAGAAAAACCTGGTATGCAGGTTGAAGAAGAGCTTGTATGGTTTAAAACAAGCTCCTAGACAGTGGTACAAGAAGTTTGATAGTTTCATGAGTATCAGTGGTTTTACAAGATGGCAAGCAGATCATTGTTGCTACATCAAGAGGTTCGACAACAGCTTCATTATTTTATTATTGTACGTTGATGACATGCTCGTTGCAGGCTCAGATATGCAAGAGATTATAAACTTGAAGCAAAAATTGTCGAAGCAGTTTGCTATGAAGGATCTCGGCGCTCAAAGCAGATTCTTGGGATGAGGATCAAAAGAGACACAAAGTCGGGGACTTTGATGTTATCACAGGCTGAGTACATCAACAAAGTACTCTCCAGGTTCAACATGCAAGATGC